GATTCATATGATTTCGGAGTGTACTGACGTGTATACCACCTCTCAGATCCCTGGAACTGAAAGCAGAATATGAGAGACTAAGGGATCTGCAGGACCGGGCTGCGGAGAACTCTGCGCACAACTTCAATAAGAAAAGGGGCATCACAGCGGAAATGAAGCAGTTCAAGGAGCAAAAGGAAGAGGCGGAAAGATTCGAAGCACTGCAGGCAGAGCGCGTAAGTGCCGCTAATGGCGCGCGTCTTGATCAAAGCCTTAGTGTGAACAAGTTTTCTGGCGTCATGACAGGATGAAGTGATTCTGAAGCATCTTTTGTGGAAACTGTACCACATCGACAAAAATGTTGGCCTTATTGAAAAGGAGATTGAAGAGGAGAAAGGCAATTCGGAGCAGTACGAAGAGCAAATGGTCGCTATGAAGTTGTGTGGCAAAATTGCATCCAGCATGCTAATGAAGGGCTTCAGGCGGAACTGGAGGGTCGACTGAAGGATGCCAAAAAACAGCACGCGAAGGTCAACAAAGAATTCATGAGACATGAAAAAAAGTTGAAGGAAAAAGAGAAAGCCAGAGAAGAGAGGGTGGGTACAAGGTTGGCGCTTTTAGCCTCTGCAAGGTGGCTTATGATCATTTTGCCCCTCAGAAACCCGACCTTATGAAACTGGAGGAAAAAATCAAGCATAGCTCAAAGAAGCTGGGCGCAGCTGAAGAGAATTTGACGAAAGCGAGGAAGCAATACGAGCGCCATGTACGTTGATTGGCATTTTTAGCGGATGGTACCAATGCTGGAGATTCACCGATATTGGATTTTTCGAAAAAGAGCAAACTCGTGAAGGAAATGGAAAAGGATCTTTCACGCCTGACGAAAGCATCACAAAAATATGAAGGTGAGAGCAGACAGTTGGAGCTTGGAAATATTCAGAGGCTCATCAGAGAGAGCGTTCTTCAGAGGAGGTCAAACGCCGCGCATCCGAAAAAGGTCCGGTCCTCACAGAAGAAGATATGGCAGAATACAACTCGAAGTATGTTCCGGTCAACTTTTTGGAGTGTGGCTATTCAACTTACATTATCTGAATAGGAAGGAGGAAGTTAGCAGCAAGACATTTGTGGAAAGTCAGGAGCTCAAAAATATGCAACGACAGCAAGTGACTGACGCTGCAACAAAGGGGAGGCTTGAGGAGCAGTTGAAGGGTATACAAAGCCGTGAATCGGTGTTGCTTGATGAACAGAATACGCTCGAGGAGCGTAAGGCCAAGGTACAATCCATTGAGAAACCACTCGACCGGTGTTGGTGAAATGCTGAACCCTTGGATAGTTCGAAAGCACGGTCCAACAGCTGTCCGCAGAGCTGGACCAAGCGAAGCATGACCTTAATGCTGCTGAAGCCGAGCGTCGCCGCATCAAGTGCGTTGTGCTATTTCTCTGAAATCGCTCTATGTGATGCTTACCTCTAAGCGCAGCCAAACCGAGACGGAACTAAAGGAGAAACTGGAAGAGACGCAGCAAAAGCTTCTGTCGGCTCGGGTGGACAAGCGAGAGAGTGAGCGGGAGGAAACTTTCAAGGCGAATTTGGAGCAACTGAAGAGTCTATTCAACGGTAGGCCAATAGTGAGATTGACTTTCCAAGCGCTGGAAGTAACGGCTTATTGTATTCAGGCGTCTACGGGCGTATGATCGACCTTTGTAAGCCCACTCAGCGCAAATACGATTTGGCGGTCTCCATCATTCTTGGGCGAAATATTGACGCTGTCGTGGTTGATACTGAAAAGACGGCTATCGAATGCATAAATGTAGGTATATTTTTTGCTCAGATTCTTTTCGTTTTCACTGTTGGTTCACTAATGCATCTAAATCAGCATTTGCGAATGAGGCGTGCCGGCCAAGCAACGTTCATTCCTCTGGACACCATTGTTGCGAGGCCCGTCAATGAAAAGTATCGGTCATTTGCAAAAGGTGCACGATTAGCAATTGACGTCATTCAATACGATGCGGCGTACGAACGTGCTTTGCAATACGCCTGCGGTAATGCTCTGGTATGCGACACCATGGATGTTGCCCGACATGTCTGTTTTGAAAGGGGACAGGAGGTGAAAGGTGAGGGTGATGGCCGTTGTGTTCCAGTCCTTTGTTGTTTTGACTCACCTTTTTCGCATCTGCAGCTGTCACGTTGGACGGCATGGTCATCCACAAAACGGGAATGATGACGGGTGGGGACGCAGGGAGCATGCAGCGTGGAGCTCGCCGGTGGGAGGAGAAGGAGGTTGAAGGTGCGATTACCACTACCAATTTTACTCAGTGGCAGTTCCTGACGGCCAAACGTTGTGATACAAGGGTTGAAAAAAGTCCGTGACAATATCCTGAGCGAACTTGACGAAGTCGTGAGGGCAAGACGCCGGGGCGGTCCCGAGGAACAACTGCGTGGCGAAATTAGGAATCTGGAGGGGAAGCTGCGTGTGGCCAAAGAGGATTTGGTAGGTCGCGCGTTGTTCTGCTGGCAAGATAACGTGCCGCTGATGATTCTGCTTGCGCGCCAGACGGCTACAGTCCACAAATTGGACGCATGCAACAAAGAGTTGGCTCACATCAAGGAGGAATCGGCTAAAGTCACCCCCGAGCTTGCAAAGGTGAGAGCGGATGATTTCAAAGAAACGAAGAGAAATGTTTTTTTATGATTGATATTATCAAGGTGACCCGGTCATTGGAGGGACTCGAGGAACGGATGCAGGAAACGGATGCGGGCATTCGTGAGGTTGAAGATTCGGTCTTTGCGGAATTTTGTCGACGTATCGGAGTTTCGGATATTCGCGAATATGAACAACGGCAATTGAAATTTTCGGAAGAAACTGCCCAGAGACGCTTGGAGTTTGCTACTCAGATTGCCAAGATTGAGAATCAGTGGGTGTTCAGCTGTTGCATCTGTACACGATGTCGTTATCTTCATCTAACGGGTTTCTTTCCATGTAAGACTATCCTTTGAGAGACAGCAAGCAAAGGATGTCAGTGACCGGGTGACGAAGATTGAGACAGCTATCAGGTCGGATAAAGACACCTTGGCTGCACTCGAAGAGGAGAAAGAAGCCCAAGAACGGGCAGATGCGCAACTAGAAGAAGAGATTACACTTGCCCGGAGTGGGCTCGATGGCGCGAAGGAAGACCTAGACGAAAAACAGGCGGCAGTTGCAAAAGTCAAAAAGGAAATATCGAAGCTAAATAAAGAAATCGAGGGGAAATCGAAGATAATTCTCGCAAAGGTGGACCGCCGCGATTGATGTCATTTTTTGTCATGGATGGCGTTTGCTGACTCTTCACTCCCGCGCAGCAATCTCAAATTGAGAAGTACTCTGGCGAGAAATTCTCCATCTTCCGTAAATGCAAGCTGGAAGAAATTGAGCTCCCATTGCTCGGAGATGCTTCGCTGGAGGATTTGTCGTTGGAAGAGATTGAGGTGAGGGTGCAGTGCACTGTAGACCACCGTTATACTGGTGTCTCATTGTTCTTGGCTGGTCCAGCGGGCTCAACTCGGTGATACGGACTCAATGGACGTAGATTCTGGCAGTCAGTCAATGTCGCAATCGCAATCGCAGTCGCGGGCGAAGCTCAAGAGCATCGAGGTTGATTATTCGAGTCTCAAAAAGGCTGAACGGACAAATGGATCCGACGAAACAGAGGCTGAGTTTGTGGAGAAGATCAAGAGTTTGTCCAGCGAAATTGAGAAAATGGCACCCAATATGCGGGCCGTGGACAGGTGCGTTTTTGGCTTCCCTTTCAAATAACTTAGGAGAACTTGGTGCAGACCTTTCGTTCGCTTTGTCTAATTCTGGCAGGTTGGATGAGGTGGAGGCCAAGTTGAAGGATACAGCCAGCGAGTTCGAAGCTGCGAGGAAGGACGCGAAAAATGCAAAAGATAAGTTCGATGCCATCAAGCAGCAGCGGTCAGTATCCCTGGAACACGTCGACTCCCTTGCACTGCGGGAATCTCTGATTTCGTCGGATTATTTTGACAGATATGAGAAGTTTTACGATGCGTTCCGTCATATCTCGGACCGCATTGATCACATCTACAAGGATCTTACAAGGTCCCGCAACTTCCCACTGGGAGGAACGGCTCAACTGAATTTGGAAGACAGCGATGTATGGCCAACTTGGATTTGGCGGGCGAACAATGCAAGAGCAATGGTATCTCATCTGTGGCTTTCCTTCTTTTCTTCCATTTTTTTCAGGAGCCCTTCAACGGCGGTGTCAAATACCACGCCATGCCCCCCATGAAACGTTTCCAAGAAATGGAAGTTTTATCTGGTGGCGAGAAGACTGTTGCAGCTCTGGCCCTCCTGTTTGCAATTCACAGTTACCAACCAGCGCCCTTTTTCGTGCTTGACGAAGTCGATGCGGCCCTCGACAACGCGAATGTGGCCAAAGTCGCGAACTACATTCGCAATCATGCGAGCGATCAGTTCCAGTTTATCGTCATTAGTTTGAAGAGCACTTTTTACGAAACTGCCGAGGCTTTGGTGGGAATTTATCGAGATCAGGATTTGGGAAGTAGCAGGTGCTTGACGCTGCAGTTGGAGGGCAAGTTTGAAGAGTGAGTGGACCAGTCAGTTTGTACGTTGATGTAACAGAACTCCGCCATGTTATATGTGGGGGAGCGTGTAGATATAACGCAGTTTGATTGTAACTTAAGACATGAGATTCTTTCGACCAAACGTTTTGCTTTGGGATATGATATTGAGGTCTTTTTTTTTGCTTTGGATGTGTAAAACACTCTGCTTTCCACCCTTGCGCATTTATCGCACACAGAAAGAGAGAAACATAAACAGACAAGAAGCTGACTGTTGGCAGAAACACACACAAGAAAAACAGGAGGAAAAAAGCTGCGGTATTTGTTACAGCGACTGCGGTATTTGTTACAGCGACTCCAAAGCATAATAATGTACTCCCTTGATAATCGAACGCTTGTGCCAATGAGAAAAAAAGTATGCATTTTGGACGCTGCGGCGTTTGCCCTATGCCGACTGTGTGGATTGAACACACGACCTTCTGCTGTCATAGTGCGTACGATCACGTAAGCATTACAAGGCAGACGCACTACCACTATGCTAAGCCGGCTGTTGTTATTTGATCCCCTGCTTTGCTGATCTTGTGCGTTTACTGTTGCTACTGTTGCTGAGGTTTGGGATCTTTTCATGTCCTAGCAAAATTTAAGACCGATGGTAGAATAGTCATGGCCCTCGCCCAAGAGATGATCGCTTAAAATAGTAGCGGCTGGCTTTTGTTAGGACTAGCACGTACTGGTGATCACTATTCGCCCCATGCCTGCACGCACCACGACTATGCTAAGCCTGTTAGTATTTGGACGGCGTCTTAATTAATTTCTTAGCAGTAAGTTAGGTGCATCTGGCGCATAGGACCTGCGGAGCGTACGGACTTTGGGCTTTTCAGCAGTTCCCATGATAGTTGAGAGTTTTGACCTTTCACACCTTTTAACAAGTTTATGGCGAGCCTTTTTGTAACATTACGCACTTTTTGGCTTACGCATAATCCGCCTATTGACTAAATATATTTAATCTTGCAACACCCTCTTCCAAGAACCACCGCCCTATTTCTTTCTTCTCTTTGATCCTTTCTCCTTTTCCGCTCCAGCCGCTTTCGCTTTTGTTCCGCCCTCCTTCACAGCCAAGCCCTCGACGAACGGCTCGACAAGCCGCACCACAACCTTGCTCCGCTGCGCCGCTGCTACACCAGCCTCTTCAACGCCAATACTAACCACGACCTTCATGAACAATTTGATGGTGGCCGACGCCGACACGAGGCGGTTGGTATCGGCATTGTATGTGAAGGGTGAAGCAACTGATGATGATGGCGCCGCGTAGACGTAGCCTTCGATACCGTATCTAAAATGGCGAAACGAGCACAGTCAGTTCCGTTGCATCTCCCGAATTGACGAGTCTCAACGCAAGAAAATTACTTGGGAATCAGCACTGAGAATCCGTTCTTCATGACGCGGATCACATAAGCTTCCTCTGTCACGTTCTTGTCTCTAAAGAACACGTTTGTGTGCAGCTCCACGGACGATCGTGACGCTTGTTGCGCTTGACGGTGGCGGTAGTTCAGCACTATTTGGACACAGCCCGTCAGACATTTTGCTGTGATATCCTCAAGAAGGGAAACAAAAGAAGGTTGTCCTACCATCACAAATTTCCTTCGCCTTTGCCTTGTCAGTCAACTCGGAAGAGTACCCCTTCTCGTATCCAATGGCGGCAGCCAACAGACGGTGTACAACCAAATCAGCGTACCGACGAATGGGTGACGTAAAGTGGGTGTAGATTTCCGATGCAAGACCGTAGTGCCTAATGACGATGTTTGCACAGAAAGAAGAGCAAAATGTCAGCAAGTCAGAACACACAAAAACGAGAAACAAGGTTGGCGCCCTACCAGAATTCTTGCTCGGGAACAGTGCCTGAGCAAAAGTAGACAGCTTGCATCATGCACCGGGTGGTCATGATGCGAATGAGCTGGTTGAGGAAGGGTTCCCCGGGCACTTGTGCGGCATCCAACGAATCCGCCAATGTTTTCGAGGTGGTGGGGTCGATTTTCAATCCCAGCTCCCCAACGGCTTTAACCAATCCGTCGAAACTCGTCGCAGGAGGTTTCGGGTGCCGCCTGGCGATATAACAATATCAGTGTTTAGAACCCGCGATGTCACTCAGGTTCATATCGTCTGTGTTCACCTACCGCAACATGGAAGACTCAGGGAAAGAGCTCTGAATCTTCTTCGCAACGTAAATGTTGGCAAGCAACATAAACTCTTCAACGAGGGCGTTCGTTTCTTTCAACTCCTTCATTTCTGTTTTGGCAACCAAGCAAGGATCATTATTTCGCGCCCATAACGAGATTGCGGCAGAAAACCAGCAAACACACACCGACATCGACCGGATCCTGCGTGTCATTTTCAAGTTTGAAGCGGACCTCGGGCGACGCAAGGGTCAATGCACCTCTGGCAATCCTCTGCGCTCTTAGCTTTTTGGCAAGGCTGTTGAGAGCTTTGATACCGAGGGTGACTGGGTCGTTCAAAGTCCTGAGAGACCAAGGTGCAGCATGATTTAAATAACAGTCCTCACGTTTACGTCCCAGTTCTTCGGGTCTAACAGGTAACTCACTTGTCATCCAGTCTTGCTTGCGCCTCGTCATAGGTCAACGACGCCTTGGACCTAATCACACTTTTCGTGTACCGGACATTCACAACCTCCGCATTCTCAGTAATTTCCTGAAATTTAATCAATGGCATCAGCCGGAAGTTACGAAGGATGCAGAACAAAGTACTGCCCGCCCATCCATCTTACCCAAATACATGAGAAGGCTAATCGATCTACATTGGATCGGAGCGAGCACAAGTCTGCAAACCAATACTTGTCAGTCTGCACCCCAATGGACGCTCATCAACAGCGAGTGACACGTACTTGTTCCCAGCAAACTTGGCAACATGTCGATGCGCTTGTCAACCAAATACACGGTAGTGCCGCGACGTTGCGCTTCAAGATCCATGGCATTTCCCGGCTTCACAAAATGACTCACGTCGGCAATGTCTGCCCAAAAGTGTAAATTACGCGGTCGCAAAATCCAAAATCTGGTAGTGGAGCAAAAACTTCGTAACACTTACGAACGCCGACTTCAAAGTTTCCATTGGGTAACCGCCGAGCGTGCAATGCGTCATCGATATCCGTACAGCCTGTTTGCCCGAAGGAAACAGCGGCTTCAGTATGGTATGGCAAAAGCGTAGCATTCAGGGTGATTCCTGTCACATACCGGGTGGATCAATGCTGCAGATATCCAAACCCCGGAAATCTTCCCTGCCCTCAAGATGCTCATCATCTTTGACAACCCAGCTCGATCCTTCTGGCGGCAAAAAGCTCAACACTTGAGCAGAGAAGGGTGCAAAGGGAACGTCGTGCTCAAGGAGAAGCACTTCGGTTTCGGTAGCACGGTCCCCGACCGCTCCCAAAGTGCGGACGTAATGGCCATGTGGATACCTGCAGCCCATCCCCGTCAGCACCGACCAAGATGTGCGCAGTTCGCATATTCTGAAAACGATCGTGAAGAGCTTACCTCGAATTCTTCTGCCATCCATCTATTGCAACAACAATTCTCTGTCCGACCAGCTCCTGCGCTTGTCTGGTCCTAATCCGAATCTTCGGGATCCTCCGGTCCATAGCCCAGAAGAAAACGAACTGAGCCCCACCCGTTGGTCCGTCCTTCACGCTCGTCTTGTCGATCGTCCCACAGTATGGCCGCCAGTTCCGCTTGATGATCCCCACTATCCGCCCGGTGGGTTTCAAATCTTCCTGAGACCCTTCCTTGGGATCCACATCCATTGCAGACTCTGCCACTTCGGCGGCCACATTTCGCTTCGGTACGTCGTCCTCATCGTCTTTTTCAATGACTTCTTCCTCCAACACTACCGACACGGGAGCTTTCCACTCCGACTTTGGCAATATTTGGACTGCCACAGTGTCGCCTTGCACACCCCGATTCAAATGTTCCCGGCCAATAATCATCACGGTGGAATCTTCTCCGTTGACCTTCGCAAATATACTTCCCTTGAGACGTTCGAGACTATCAGCTCAAAATGTAAAATGCGGAAACAAAAGGATGCAACGACGAAGGCCTACCAACCTCAAGGTAATTATGCATGCTGATGTTGAGTGTACCCTGAACGAACGCGCCCGACTTCAACCCTGCCAACATTTGAGTTGCTGACAAATGCTAGCAGAAACAGTTTCAGCATGGTTTCCATCAGCAGGCAGCTATATGAGAAAATCACCGAAATACCTCAGGGTATGTGTACTTCTTTTCTGAATCCACATCCTCGTCCGCAACGCTCGCGACCATATCTATCAGCTCAGGGTGATCTTTCATTGACTCCACATACTGACGGACTGAGCATCCAATTGATCAGCTGAGCAAAACGAGGGAAATAGAGTTTCGACAAAACGGACACTAACCGCTGAACACGGGAATAGTTTCCAGCTTCGCCTTTCTTCGATTATCGGCATCATCCGTGATCAAAACGCACCCAACTGCTCCGCCGAGATGAGCATTGTACCAGTTCACGGCCACACGGATGGCTGTTGAATGGAGTCCATTAATAGCGGCGGCTCGCTCCCTCCGATCAATCACGCTCTTACCTCTGTCATTGCGGTCATTGGGAGTTTCACCCTTTTGCCTCTCAACATACGTTTCCCTAAATTACCAAGATGTAACTTAGCCCAAAACATGATTTCGGTTTCCATCGTGGGAAAAGCTTTTTGGAACCAACCTATGATGTTCATTACAGAAAACATAGAACCGCCTCGTCCGCTCCTCAATGAGTTGCCTCACACGATTGTATACCGCATTGCTTCTATGTCTCAGTTCTTCCAGCACTGTTTGCAAAACTATGACGTCCAGGAATGCGGTGTGCTCTATAACGTCAATCTGTACATAGGGGCATGTGGTGATACGATAGTGGTCAGAGTTGCTTGCTTTGCCGCTCCTTAGCACCATAAACAACCGTGCCAACCTGGTGGTATAAAACATTGGTGTCGGGAACAATGTAATGCGGAACAGGGGCAACGGCGGTACGGCGTGGTTGTGGTGCCAGAATTGCAGAGTGGGCAGGACAGCGCGAACAACCGGTCACACCGCAGTATAGGTCGTCGCGAAGGTCTGTTAAAGGGCTGAATGAGCATCCCCAACCAGTCGAAACAAGTTCAAAATACAGCCGGGTAGCATACAGTGTTCTTTAACGACTTTAACTATATTTCCCCGCCGTGTCTTTCTTACGAACGCCTTGTTCTTCAACATTGTTACGGGTTGTGGAGAGCGTAGATCGATTATCGGGAAATGGTGATCTCCTCTGGGTCCGACTTCCAAGTGAATGAAGTGGCTTGTACAGCTTTGAGGGCTTGACCAATCACATTTCGATCGCCCGGGGCTTTCCTCCAAGCCCGCTTGTCAGTCTTGGCTCTTTCGGCGCGCTCTCGCTTTCCAGTCACCTTTCAACCCCACGATCTGTGCCATTGATTGTGAGACATGCTGGCACGTTGTGCACATATAAACCACAGAAACTC